TCCAGGCATCGTGTATATTGTAGTACAATAGTATTGTGTCCTTCATCTGTGGGATAGCTCTCAAAGTTCCTCTTGATATGACAGAAGTTGATTATTTTCAGAATACAACTGCAGGTCAGTGGCATTACCATTTCAGGGAAAACCATGCCTCTCCCTGTGAAATATCCTGATATCTGACCTGTATGTTCTTTCATCCTGATGTACTGGACTTACATGGTAGGCCTAGGTAAATTCTGTCATGGAGTTTATAAAAATGCCTGATCCATGTCAAATAAAGAGCTACAAATACTGGCAAAAGTCTGAGTTAGCAAAACTGAAACATCTACAAAGCTCCTGAATAGTTGTCAGGTCCTTCCTCCTGTCATCCTACACATGCTCTCTCCTGCCTATTATGTGTATTTGACCATATACAAGATCAAATTCCTAAGGAAAATTTCGGGTAGACAGTGAATTGTCTTTGTGTTGGGAAACAGGACACTGTTCTACCTGAAAAGACACGGACACCTCTACTCTTCCAGACATGTAGTCTCTTCCTTCTCCAGCCATATGCATCATCTCTTCTGTATTTAGCTAATTTTCAATTCCTCATGGCCCACAATATATTATGCATCTTAAATCTGGATCATCTTCCCTCCTTAATCCCAACTGGACAGAGTATATTTATTCTTGAAAGTTAGGCATAGAGCTGGCATACAAAAACAGAATGTCTTTTTAGAAACTCAGTCTTCTCAGCTTTGGGGTGTGTGCAGCACTGCCTCTTCCCTTTGAAAGGAGCCAATTAATCCCAGAATGGCTAACACAATGTATGCTCAGTTTATGAGTCTCATTGGAACAAGGATTTGGCACAAGAACTTGGACTGAGGAATCCACTAAAAACTTGGCCTTCAAGGAGCTAGTACTGTTCTGCTTGTCCTGGGCATCTCAGAGGAAGAATGGAACAATTGCTGCACACAATTAATGTTCCATTGCTGTGTTCTGCCTCTTCCTCAGAAAGATCATCATTTCCTGGTATATCATGGCAAGAAAACATTATGCTGTTTATGCTTTGTGTAAGTGATGGAACTGGGGAAGAGAAAATAATTAAATCACTTCTCAGATTTAATTGTTTTTTGGCTAGAGGAGCTCTTTAAGCAGGTTGAGTTGAAAAAACTTGGCCAAAAAGAAGTAGTAAGTGTTTAACTGACAGGGTTCATTAATAGTGTACAAGAATCACTTCCTTTCAATTTTCTCAAAGACAGGATGGATAGATTGATGGATGGATGGATGGATGGATGGATGGATGGATGGATGGATGGATGGATGACATCCTTGAAAAAGTCTGCAACCTCAAAATTTAAAACTGAACCAAGACAGTGCTTCCTATTGTAATGTGACAAGTAACTGTTCATCCACGCTGTTGACTTCTACCTGAACCAACAGTTTGCTGCAGGAATTGCAACCTAGTGCTGAGCAAGGCCAAGATGGCCAGGTCAGCAGTGTGGCAAAGGACAGAAAAAAAGCTAAACTATGCATTTTGCATAGATTCTCCTGAAAACTTGAGCTGCTTAATTCAAATATTTTATCTGATATTTAAGTTAAATGGTCCTTATAAAGTGCCTATCATGATCCTTGAATAATTTCTTGGTCTTTGATAATATACAAATTTCATGAAACAAGGATGTGGAGAGATAAAACTTCAGATTATCTATGTTGGGGCACCCAAAGTCAAGAATGAGAGACTTTGTGTATTCTGAAAATTTGTTCTGCTTAAAGAGTTTCAGGTTGAGCACTGAGCCTTAAGCCATGCCAAACCTCTTCTCAGTTTGGAAAACCTCATTCTGTATGTCCCAGTCATTGCTAACTGTATTGCTGCCATTCAGCAGTCAGTGCTATTGCTGTTAAATAAAGTGAGACAGGGTGTCATTCTTAATTTGTTTGGGGTTTTTTTATTTTTTAAGGGATGGATTATATAAATTGCTATACTTGTGATAGAGCTTAAAAACTCTTCTCTTCTCTGTTCCTAGAGGTGTGCATGGTGTTTGAGACAACCTCAGGGCACAGGACTGTAGTGGCATTGAAAATGAGTACCTGATTTGGTACAGAAATGTCCTATTTGATACTAAACACTTCCTATTCTGGCAATTAGAAACCATAGTAGAGAGGCACTTCATGCACAACAGTAATAATTCTTTGGAAATGTAAATTGTGCGACAGGGTGGCTTGACTCATGTTTAAATCACTTCCTTAATGATGAAACCCCTACCAGCCTCATATATTTATTATACATTAAAATAGAATATTTTTGACAGACTTGGTTAGTTTTGAGTATAGAGCCTAGTCATTTACTTGAAAAAATCAGCAGCTAGTCATACCAATTTGATATGCTTTTCAATGCTGGCAATGACAATAGGTAACATAATTTTAAAAATAAATTTCATAAAAGAATTTGCCAGTTTCTTTATCAAGACAAAAATTAGTCAAGGGAGTTACTCACAAGGGGAGAATTCAATGCTGGAACATTTAGATGTTCTGCAGCCTGGTTATATTCAGAAATCCAAATCAGCTTCTCCTAGTCAGAATGCAGGGAGATGCATTATCGGGGTTCAGAAAAACCATCACTTCCCTGGATGCAGTGGCCTTTTCTTGGGGGCTTCTCCTTACACTTGGCTCTCAGCTAAAGGGAGGGACTTCTCCCAGCTGAAGATTACAGCCAGAATCCTTTTTTTTTAACAGGGACCTTTCTGTTTTCGAAATCATAGCAGTCTTTGTGTTTTTAGACCATGGCTGAAGATGTTCATAGACAGTGAAAGCCACCACAGTCACTCAAGTGATAGGCCACAACACTTACTCTGGCTGAGCACTACAGAGTGTTCCTCCAGTCTGTAGAGTGTTAAGGCTCTTTTATTTCCTCATGTTAAAATGTGTCCCTATTGCCCAGAGTTTGTTTAATAGTCATAGTGCAGGGGATGTGTGAAGGAATGGCTCTGCAGCCCCAAGCATGCCTGGGCTTATGGTTGCTGTATGGTACTGACACAAAAATTATTGTATTTGCATGGCAGGATGTTTTTTCATGGGTATTTAATCTTTATGTGTCTTTCTACAGCTCCTGTAAGCAGAAACTTTAGAAAAAGGGCATAAATCTGATTAAGAAAAGCATTCACATCTGTTTAGTCCAGGTTTATGTAACTGGAAAGCACATTCAATATTTGGACTAAATTACTCTAATTTCTTACTGTTTAAATTAAATGGTAAATTTTAAAAATAAAAAAATAAGTGAATGCCAGTCTTTCCAATGATGTTTTCAGACCAACAGATATTTTTGCAAGGAAATAACAGAAATTCTGTTATATGGACTTTTTAATTCTTAGTACAACTGATATGTAGTATAAAGCCATTCAGGCATCCGTACCTTCTCTCTACGCATATCCACTTTCCCCATTAATGAAAGTTACACACAATACAGGTGGCTTTTTGCTAAATTTCTAGGACTTGATTCCTTATTCCATTCTTGGCAGTAAACCAATACATAATTATCTGGGGGAAAAAAGGCCACAAAAAAAAAAAAAAAAGGCATAAAAGAAAATTTCAGTCTGAAGTGAAACTCTTGTGATAAAAATACCTGTTTGTTTTTTCAAGAGTGCCATTACCTCTGATCTACTTCTGTAGAGGTAGTACAGTGTAGTGCACAACAGTGTACTTCTGTTGTGGGCTGACCAGGCAGCTGCATGACTGCACACTGGAATTGCAAGGGAAGGCATTGCAGTAAACAGCACAGATGACAACCAGTAGTTTATGAATAATCCCCAACGTGGTGCTGAGTGATGCTCTTAGCTGTCTGTTCTTCATGTCAGAAGTGGTCAAGATCTCCATCAGCCACCACCTCTAAGAGTCGCATAGCATTTTCCATGAAACTGGACATTACTGTGATTTCATTTCCATTCAAAATACACTCTCCTTGATGTTTATGGCTATACTGAGACAGAGTCTCTTCTGAGAAGGACAGTAGAGATCTTTTTGCATTTCAAGGGACATGTTTTAATCCCCTTGGGGTTTGCGATGCAAATGTGCGTTAAATTTATTGCAGCTTACAAGAAACTTACAGCTTCTTCCATTTGTGCATCTGTGTAAGTGCCAACAAGCAAAAGGCACTTAAAAGGTTTACTGTAGTCCCAGCAGCCAACAACATCTGAACATTTCATAGTGAGACACAGAAATAAGGCAGGTGGCCAAGAGCACATATGGCAGCAGTGACATAAACATATGGAAATTACACTTGAAACATGAAGTGGGTGGGTCATATTTACTAAAAAAAAAAAAAAAAAAAAAAAAAAAACAAAAAACCAAAACAAAACAAAAAAAAAACAAAAACCAACAACTTGGATTTTAGGGACAATGCATTTTCTGAACGAGGAGGATTCTTGCATATGTATGCCACTGAAGATTTTGTGAAGTATAAGTTGTGGTCTGTTAGGAAGAACAGATGGGGCACCAGCACACCTTTAAAAAACAAAAGTCTATCAAAGCTATCAGTATTTCTGAGTGCAGCATCTTTAATCCGTGAGATTGTTGGTTATGTGCTGTTTTGCTTCTTGCCCACTCACAGAACGAGTATGTACTTCTGTGCCAGGGCTCTCAAAGGCTTACAGCTCAAACTTGATGGCTTAAATAGAACTCTGAGAGGGCTGGGCAGTGCAACAGCATCCAGGCTGGGCTTTGGGAACCCTTAGCTTCAGGAATGCTGTGTGACCTCTGCCTCTTATTCAAGTGGGTGAATGGAATGAGCTGTAGCCTGGGACTTATACTGAAAACACTTCAGTAGCTCAACCTTGTCAGCTTCCTTTGCTTGACTAAGCTTCAGTGAACAAAAGAAATTAAAACCTCAAGGACTTACATTTAGATACAAACTGCATTCCTGCACTTCTGGTTGCCAACAGAATGAAAGCAAAGCAGAATTTCCTTCAAAAAATCAAACTCTTTAATAAAATACATAGGTTCACATTCTTCCTTTTAAAGTACATTACCTGAAGTACAATAGCTGACTACTGTGAATTGGGGTGTGAAGATTACCTTTTTCTCTACCCACTGTTCATGTTCAGGTTTATCAGAACTTCCAGTGAAGATATTTCTTCCTGCAGAACTGCAAGCTAAAAAGAATCAAAAATCAATGGTAGTTTTGCATCCCCTAAGTTCTGAAGCAATACGTTACAGATAATATGTCTACAATGTATCACTCACCTCCCATAGCAGAGAGAAAAAAGATGTCCCTTACCTGATGCATCAGTGCAGAATTTCAGAATGTGAGTCGTGCTTTGGCCACTCAAGTTTAGAGTTATCTAAATGCCAGAGATTCTTTCATCTTCCTTAAGCAACCTCTGCATTCATGTTAAAACAATCTGCTGCTACTCAAAGTTTTTCTCTGTTAACTTTTATGCCATTGCTATTGCCCTGTACTACCTACATCAGTCTTTTCCATTGCTAGTAGTCCCATTTTGATAGTAAAATTGCTCTGAAAACACTGGGATTTTTGTCTGGCCTTTTATTTTACACACGTATTTGCAGGTCACAGTTAATGAACAATTATCATTTTGCCAGCTGCTCTCCTAAGACTCTGACCATACGCCTACCAAAATTAAAAGCAAAGTCTGTCGGGTACAACAGTGGAGAAGCAATCCTTTGTTAAAATCAAGCCTGCTACTATCCTAGGTATTTTCCAGGAGCAAGATCCTGAATTCCAATAATGTACTGTCCATACAAAAGAAATCCCTAAACTATTCCTGGGATCACTGTTACAATAATGGCAGAATTAAGCCTTAGGCATGTAACTGCTTCGCCAGATACAAGGAAAACATATTTAACCTGTAAAGTTCATGTCTTAATCATAGGAGCTGAGATTGCTATTGTGGGAGGGAGCTAAAGATAACACATACATTATTTTTCTGGCTGTTTATTTTGAACACTTGGCAGCCTTTTGTGAATAGTTAGCATAATTTTTCCCTGGTCTTACTCTTTCAGAAAGGTCAAAAGGGAAGGAAACTTTCTTAGAAAGACATATAGACAAATATACATCATACCTATAGAGGGGTCTTAATAGGTTATTCAGAGTATTTTGCCAGGCCCGTGACATTAAACTTGCCAACCCCTTCTTGCAGTCACCGCGCTCACTCTGGAGGGGGACAACGAGATGAGAGGGGGAAGCCCAGCGCCCATTTCCGCGACGCCGAAGATGCCGCTACTGTCACCCCGTCCTGCTCCCCGCGCCCCGTGTGAGACACCGCCCTGCCACGTCCCGCAGCTCCGGCGGAAACCTGCCAGCCTCTGGGGAACTCAGTCACAGCAGAAGCTACCACCCACCCTCCGCGCCCCGGCGGCCGAGCGGCCCCGCTCGCCGCCTTTGTGTCCGCGGCCGCCGCCCCTTCCCCGCGGGCGGGGCGGAGCGGGGCGGACCGGCGGGGCGGGTTCGCGGCGCCCATAAGAAGGGGCCCTGGCCGCAGCCACCGCCCTTCTTCGCCGCACACCCTGGTCGCCCCGCTCCGCTCCCGGATTACAAAGCCCGCTCTGCCGTCGCTATGAGCATCAGCACGAAAAACTCCTCGTACCGGCGCATGTTCGGCGGGGGCAGCCGCCCCAGCACCGGCACCCGCTACATCACGTCCAGCAGCCGGTACTCGCTGGGCAGCGCCCTGCGGCCCAGCAGCGCCCGGTACGTGTCCGCCTCGCCCGGCGGCATGTACGCCAGCAAGACGACGTCGGTGCGGCTGCGGAGCAGCATGCCGCCCATGCGGCTCCACGACTCCGTGGACTTCTCGCTGGCCGACGCCATCAACTCAGAGTTCAAGGCGAACCGCACCAACGAGAAGGTTGAGCTGCAGGAGCTTAATGACCGCTTCGCCAACTACATCGACAAGGTGCGCTTTCTGGAGCAGCAAAACAAGATCTTGCTGGCCGAGCTGGAGCAGCTCAAGGGCAAGGGCACGTCCCGCTTGGGCGACCTGTACGAGGAGGAGATGCGGGAGCTGCGGCGACAGGTGGACCAGCTCACCAACGACAAGGCACGCGTAGAAGTGGAGCGGGACAACCTCGCCGACGACATCATGCGGCTGCGGGAGAAGTGAGTGTGCCTGGGGAAGGCGGGTTCGGGCTGCCGCCGCATCCCGCTGCCTCCCCGCCGCCCTGTCCCCTGGCGCGGAGGCAGCCCCTGAGCATCCCGAGCGGTACCGGGCGGGCCGGAGGCTGGGCGGGGGCATTTGGGAGACCCCCGCTCCCTCCTCACCGCCGTCTTGCCCCTTCTAGGCTGCAAGAGGAGATGCTTCAGAGGGAGGAGGCCGAGAGCACCCTGCAGTCCTTCAGACAGGTTAGCGGCGGTGGAGGAGGGAGGGGCCCGAGGATGTGGTGGCTGTGCCTGGGGCGGAGGGTGGGAGTGCAGGAGTTTGCTTTCCTTGCACAAAGAGGTTCCGTCAGTTCTCACGCAAGCCCTCCGTGTTTTCTTTAGGGGGATGCTGCAGTCTGAGGGGAGGGGAGGTAAACCATTGTCCTGCTTTATCCAAGTCTAGCCCGTTTTACAAAAACCATCCCAACGTGGAATCACTTTCCGATCCAATAAAAGTGAAAGGGGGCCATCTGCTCGCTTGGCTGAAGGGTATTAATGGTTTCTATGGGATTCACCATGGAATGCAGATACAGGCATTATGGCAAGTGTGGTGGCAGCAGATTGAAATAATAGATCCCTTTGTGTCGGAGGGGAGGGCGCAGTGGGCTGCATTCTTACTAAATGTGTAATGGTGCGGGAATATTTCTAGCGAAATGTGTCTCTTATGGGCCAGTTTTTGTACAAAGCAAAACTCCTTTTTGATGAATCACTGGTCAGTGCATTACTGGGCAACAGTTTCAAATTTAAGTTTTTTTACCAGGGCGTTGTCTGCCGACGAGAAGTAGACAATATGTTCCTTGGGACGAGGTCACAGGCTTGAGCTTGACCCACTCCTCTGGGTGTCCATTAAGAACGTGGAATGTAATCCTCTGTAAAACAAAGATGTTAAACTAGGAAACAAGTTATGTTAGAGTTCAGTCTTTGTAGGATGCTGTGATGTTATCCAGACAAAGTAAATCTACATGACAACCAGAAACAACTGTGCAAACAGTGTTCTAAAATTCTTAAGCTCAAGTTTTCACTTGTGCAAAACCAGCTTTCAACTTAGATTAAGCCTTGTTTGGACTAAGAGATATTTAGGAATGTGCCTTCTCAAAACAAGGTCTCTTCCCTAAAACTCCTGGTGTAAAACAGCATTGCTAGCATTCTTTCAGACTGGAAGTGACTGCCCTTATCATAAGCCAGGCAGCTGGGTACAGGCTGACTTTGTCCCAGAGCTCTTCATAGGCAGTAACACAAGTCACTGTTCAGGAAATCAGCAGTTGATTGTTAGCATTTCCCTGGGAAAGGCTTTTGTCTGCAGTATATTTACAGTCCTTGAAGGAGAGCAGGTGTGTTCAAGAGATAGTGTGGGGAAACTGAAACACCTACTCCCATTCAGAGCCTGGGAATTCAGTCTCCACTGGCATTCTGGAGACAGAAGTTTTAAACAACAGTCTGAGATACTGCCTTAATTTAAGCTTATGGGTTTTGTTGGTTGTTTTTTTTTTTGTGTGTGTTTTTTTGGTTTTTGTTTTTTTTTTTTTTTGAGCACTAAGACGATTTAATGTAGTGTGAAATTCTATGAAGGAGCATTTAAGTTTTAGAGAATCTCATCTACTCTGATTCATTGCTGAATTCAGTTGAAGGATCAATTGACTTAAGGTTGGCTTTTACAGAATCTTTCATGTTTAATTGGTGCACTTTAGGCATGTCTGTATTTCAATCCAGTTGAATCTTATGGAGGCTCTGGGCTTTAAAGTGAGCTTGGATTGGTGTGCATACCCTACACTCATTATCCAGCTCTTCCCTGTATTTGGAAAGGGGTCACTCAGAAGCTCAGCCTCCAGCAGATGTGTGCATGCAGGACAGTCAGAATTGGACCCATTTAACCTCCTAAGCTGTAGCTTGTGCATAAGAAATGCAAATCATTCTCTATGGGAACTCTACACTAAATGCACTCATGACATAACGGGTGCATGCTGGTGTGCTTGATTTGACCATCAGTCATACCTAATTTTTCCTTACTGGCAAGGAGGGAGTTAACACCGGTTTTGAAACCTAAATCTGTTTCAGTGCAAGTTTTGTTCTTCTGAAAGTGAAATTAAATTCCCACGACACTGAAGCTGAAATATCCTGTTGTGCTTTCCATTTTAAAGCAATGCACAGCTTTCTATTAAATTATTGTATTTTTCCACTGGAAAGTTGTATACTTGTATAGATTTGGATCAGTTCAGCAGGTGCTTTGCTGTTCTGATGTATCATCAAAGACACTTTTTACTTGATGGAGCAGCTGTGTGCTGCAGTATTTTAAAATAAAGAACGAATATTTGAACTTAAGCTTTTATTTCCAAAAGCTGCCTGTTTCAGAGACTGTTCAGCTCATATGTACTGAATTTTAATTTATTTCTTCTGGACAAAGATATGATTTTACTCATGTGCTGAGGGATGTACTGCAGAGACTACATGTGCAAGTTCACTGAGGACTTTCCTTTAGCAGCAGGACAAGCATCACAGTGAGAAAGTTACTGCAGCTTTGCCAGCTACTCTAGCAGTAAGGAATAGGTCCTGAACCTGTGACAAGCCTAAGAGGTCAGGTCCTGGCTAACATGAGGTTTGTCTAAAGAAAACATATATGCTCAACCCTGCAAAGTGTGTGGCTTGCATTGAAGAATCTCCTAGGATAAAATCCATATGTTCTCCAACTGCACGTATCTACGACTTCTACTTGTTTGTTCAGGCTACAAGTAGCCAATTCATTTATGGGGTTCTCCACACATCTGGGAACTACTGAAACACTGAATTTTAGTGATAGGGAATACATAAATGATAGCATATAGTAAAGTACATAGCACATATTGTGTCTTCAATTTAAATTGCTTTCAATTTATTGTAAGGTCCTGATAGTAAAGTACATAGCACATATTGTAAGTGTCTTCAATTTAAATTGCTTTCAATTTATTGTAAGGTCCTAAAATCCTGTAGCTATTCAGTTGTTATTTAAAAAAAAAATAGCCTTCAGGATGAAGATTTCTGCAAAATCCTCTGGAAAATCTTTGGATGTCTGGCCAGTTATGTAAACATGTTGGGTCATAGCCATGTCATTTTCTGCCAGAATGATCATGAGGGGTTTTGGAGGGAGGAGAACAAATTAATTAGGAAATTCTTTTCCCTGAACTGAACTGAAAAACAGAGCTGATATGAACTGTGGGGGTAAAACTGGAATTGATAGAAAAGTTATGGAATGATGCATGAAAGGGATATTTTGCTGGATAAAGTAAACAGAATAATTCTTCTGGAACAAGGACCTTGCCCCAGAGTAGGGGTGATCCAAGGAAAGGCTTTCTAGGAGTCTAAAGAAAACACTCCTTATTTCAAAGGTGCCATAATAGAGAGAGCTGCTGATTAGGAATGCTTATGCTTTGGGCAATCCAAAATAGCTTTAGAGTAAGCTGTGAGAACCTGATATGTTAATACCCTGTGAGCACAAGCATGTGGCTGTGTATGTAACTAGCGTGAAAGAAACAATCTTCCCCTTTGCAAACTAAATGCCTTACACATTCAAAATGTAAGAAGTTGCCAATCAATGTTTAGTCCTATGTTTTTGAACTAATTCAAGTTGTTCCCTTATAACATTCGTGACGTGTCTTCTGTTATGCTCTAAATGAATTTTTGCTGTTGATTAAGACTATCTCTGTCCAGCAAAAGGTGGAGCCTTTGCCAGCAACTGCGAAGGGTGTAGGCAACGATGAGTAGCTCAATTTGTGTTTATGCTCACAACCTTCTTTTTCTCAAGGGAGATCTGTTTGCCTGCATTGTGAATACTGCAGTTCTTATGCATCCCTCACCAGCTTTACAAGTATGCTTTAAAAGTGTGGTCTGTGGACCTAAGGGGCTCTGTGCTTTTTCACCGAGGAGTCCATAAGTTAAGCCCACTGACAGGCCTGACAGCACGTGTTGGACTTTTAAGCCCCACTGAAAAGAGTGGAAGTTTGCAAGGTGCAACTCTTTGTCAGTGTAGTCAAGCTAGAAGCACTTAGTGTAGACTTCTGACTCAAGTACTTGAAGGATTTACACCCACTATGATCTGTGTGCTCTTGATCATGCTTAGCAGCAGTTCAGCAAAGATGTAATCAACATATGTGGTATAGTTTTCAAATTCACAATAAAGGTGCATATCTAAGGTTGAAGGCTAAGGTAGGAGGTGGCAAAAAGGTTTTTTACAGCTTTTGATTT